TTATAAAAAAAAAGTTCTAATTTTTCTTGTTATAATTTTACTTAATAATTCAGAGAATAATTGAATTTTATAAAAAGTATTAAAAAATTGTAATCTAATGAATTTCAATTCAAATTTATTCATTCAAATTTAATAAGTTCAAATATTTTAAATATAATTTTTTTTTAAAATCCAAATAGGAATTAAATTATTTTTAATACAATTTATTTTAATTAAATTTTACGAAAAAATATAAGAATTCAATTATTTTCATAAATAGAAATAAAATTCTTTGTAAAATTCAATTATTTTAATAAATAACCAATATTCATCGCAAGAATTCAATTATCTTTATAAATAAAAATGTCTTAACTTCTCCAACAAAATTCATTTATATGCGAAAATTTTAATACATTTTTTCACAAAAATTGAACGTAAGTTTATAAATAACACAATTTTTCCTGGGAATTCAATTATTTTCGATACAATTTTAATAAATTTTTTCGAGAAGATTTAATTATTTTTAAAAATTAGAACAAAATTTTTCCTGGGAATTTAATTATTTTCAATACAATTTGAATAAATTTTTTTGAGAAGATTTAATTATTTTTAAAAATTGTAATAAAATTCTTTGCAAAATTCAATTATTTTCATAAATAATCAATATTTATACCAAGAATTCAATTATCTTTATAAATAAAAATACCTAAAACACTTGGACAAAATTTAATATAAATTCAAAAATTTTAATAGGTACAATTTTTCATAAAAACTGAACGAACGTTTATAAATACAACAAAATTCTTCCTGGGAATTCAATTATTTTCAATACAATTTTAATAACATTTTTCGGGAAGATTAAATTATTTTTAAAAATTGTCATGGGATTTTTCGAAAGAATTCAATTATTTGATAAAATTCATTCCAAAAATTTATTTATTTTCAAGACTTTTTTAGTAAAATTCTTTGCAAAATTCAATTATTTTAATAAATAACCAATATTCATCTCAAGAATTCAATTATCCATACAAATAAAAATATCTCAAAATGCTTAAACAAAATTTATTTATATTAAAAAATTTGACAATTTTAAGAAACATTTTTCGGGAAAATTCAATTATTTTTAAAAATTGTAATTAAATTTTTCGAAAGAATCCAATTCTTTCCAATTATTTGTTAAAATTCTTTATAAGAATTCAATTGTTTACAATTATTTGTTAAAATTCTTTATAAGAATTCAATTGTTTACAATTATTTGTTAAAATTCTTTATAAGAATTTAATGATTTTCAATTATTTGTTAAAACTTAAAATTCTTTATAAGAATTTAATAATTTCCAATAAAATTTAAATTGAATTCCTTGAAATAATTTAATTATTTTCAACAATTATTACGCAATTCTTCGCAGAATGCCAATTATTTTCAAAAATTTTAATAAAATATAATTATTTTAAAAAATAACAAAATTCTTTACAAAAAATCAATTATTTAAATAATTTTTAGTAAATTCTTGTCAAAAATTTAATTATTATCGTTGAAAATGAATTTTTTTAACATTTTTTATTGAAATTCAATTATTTTTAAAGATTTTTATAATAATCCAGACAAGAATTCAATTATCAATTATCGAAAAAAATCAATTCTTTAAAAATTTTGTATAAAATATCTTCGCAATAATTCCATTATTCTAATAAATAGAATAACAATTTTTTAAAAAATTCAATTATTTTCATAAATAGTAAAATTAATTACAGAATTTCAATTATTTTTCAAAAAATGTGAAAATTTGATCTTTGAAAAATTTTAATTGAAAATTCTGAGAAAGTTAGTTTTTTTTATAAAATTGCATGCAAATTTTTTTTTTAAGTTAAATTATAAAAAGATATATTTATAACTAAAATATTTTCAATATATTATTCAAATTTCGCATGAAATTGAATTGTAAACAAGTGGATTTCAGAAATACTTTATGTGAACTTTTTTTTCTTTCAATAAATAATTGAATTCTCAAGAAACTTTCTCAAAAATTATTAAAAATAATTGATTCAGAGAAGAATATTTAAATTGAAAATTCTAGAATCTATTTGAAATCTTAAAAATAATTTTTGGGCAGTTACAGTGATTTTTATATTTAAAATATTGAATTTCAAAGAATTTGAAATTTTTAAAAATCTTAATTCCTTTAAAAATATATTAAGAATAATAATTAAAAATTTATTTTATAAAACTTTCTGTTGTTGAGAACTGTTATGAATAATATTTCTTTAGGCACCATGTTGAAGTCCACAACGTTGATCAACGAAAAAAAATTTTAAACTTAGTAAATTAATTAAAAATGACGCTGCAATATTGTCACAAAAATATTTCGAAATAAAAGATTGATGTTTATATTTTGATAATAATTATTTTGCAATTAAATATTAAATTAAAAATAATACTTGAATGCATTAAATAAATTTATTTCGTTGACAAACGTTGTGGACTTCAACTTCGTCTTTAGGCTCAGGGAAAAAGTCAAAATTCTCTCTAAAAACTTAAATAAAATTCAATTTCCGTGGCAACCCGAAAAAAATTTTTTTTTCCTACACAAGAAAAAAGATCAAATTGTATGTAAAAGGAAACTTTCTTAGAAGATTTTTTTTAAGTGTTTCGGCAATAAATCAAAAAAATGTAGATCGACTTCTTGATTTTTTACATGTCTGGGCACACAAGGAAACAGTGTGTGATAAGTTTGTGGCTCCTCAGAGGGTAAATATTCAAGATCGTAAAATCACACCAGCGCTGAAAGAAATTTCGGATCTTTTTTGGGTTTCGTTCATCTAACGTATTCAGTCTTCTAAATAATGTGGTAAATGCTGGAACAAAGATTCTCGATTTTACGATCAAGGCTCGAAAGCATAAATCAAGTACATAAAATATATATATATATAAAAAAAAGGAAAAAAAAAATATTCAACAAATTTAGACAAGCATTTCATTTTAACGAATTGACATCACTATCACTTGCAATAAAAATTCGTGTGAGAGTGAGGAAACAAAATACACAAAAGTGACATTTATATAGTCAAGCTCTTTATTGCTTTTTAAAGATCTGCACATTTTTCCCCTCAAAAAAAAAAAATTTTTTTTTGTTTATTTACCTGTCACTAGAATTTATTACCTGTTTCACACTTTTTTATTCTCTTTTCCAAAAAAGTAGAGAAATAATATCGTTAGTATTAATAAAACACTGAGAGTATATTTGTCATTTTTAATTTGGACCAAAATTTTCCATTTCCCACCTTTTTTTTGTATATTTTTCTTTTTTCCTAAAAACAAAAAGTTTCTTTTTTTCTTTTTTTTGGCAATACCTATATGAGGGGGGAAATTATCGATAAAAAGTTATTTTTCGTAGAAAAGAGGAAAATGTCAGGAATTTCTGTCGTTGAATGTCGACGAGGCACAGATAAGGGTTGATCTTATGACGTTTGGATTCACCATATCCTCTGTCAGGATCTTGCGAAGCTTGCGACTTGAAACTATAGCAACTTTCAGTCTCAGAATTGCATATAAAACGAAAAGGAACAATTTAGGAAATTGCTGAGATACCATTTTTTTTATGTACTTACTTCCTAAAAAAAAAATAAGAAAACTGATATATAATTAGTGAATTAAACATGTAATTATAAATTTAAAATTAAGAAAATTACACTGAATTGTAAAAGTTTCTATGAGTTTTTAATTTTTATGCGGTTTCTTGAAATAAAGAGAAGATTTTTTTCTTTAAATTTTTTACTATACGAGAAATTATAGAAAAATATTTTTTAATCAATAATTTGTTGCTGTATTAGTATTATTAATTATTTTTACAATAATTTTTATAAATCTTTTATTTTTTTTTTATAAAGTTTTTAAAAATGAAAAAAAATTTTAAATTCAAAAAAATCAAAATAATAAAAAATAATAAAGAGATAAAATTATAATAATAGTTTAATAATATTAAATAATAATATTTTTAGAATAATATTATTAACAACTAATTAATTAATAATTTCGATTAGCAGCAAGTGATCAGAACAAGCGAGCAAAACATTGGGAGAAGCGGCCCCCCACCATGCCGGCGCTCCTCCCTTCCCTTTCACACTTCCCCCACTTCCAGCCTCCTGCTTGCTTGTTTTATTGTTTCTTTAGGTCTCAAGTCTAAAAATTAATATAAAAATAATAAAAAAAAATGTTTTTAGTGTAAAAATAATATAAAAATCGTTTTCAATACCAAAAAATGCAAAAATAATGCAAAAAAATAGTAAAAAAAACCGTTTTAAATACAAAAAAAGAAAAGTAATATAAAGAAAAGTAATATAAAAAACGTTTTAAATACAAAAACAATATAAAAATGTTTTTTGAATATAAAATTAACTAGAAAAAATCAAATAATATTAATTTTTTAACATAAAAAAAACGAAATTGATTGAAACTGCATTCAGGGCCAATTGGTTTTATATCCAAGAATGCAGCCTAATAATTAAAGGATTCATTAAAAATAAATTAAAACTGGGAAAATTTAAAGGATTAATATTAATATTTTATGTTTAATAAATAAATTAATATTTATTTATTTATTTATTTATTTTAATGAAAATGTGAAAGGGAAAAATTGCGATTTAACATTTTTTTGTACCTTAGTTATTGCAAAAAAATATCTCAAATTTTACTGATGATTCGTGCACTTTATTTCTATACAAATATCAGTAAATTTTATCTTTTTGAAAGCTATCAAAAAACAGAAATAATAAAATAAAAAAAAAATTGAAAGAAAAAGAGAAAAATAGTTGGAGAAAAAAAGTGTCAAATACCTTACAATAAAGTTTTATGAAACCATACAATGAGTGAAAATAAATAATGGAAATTGTAAATATTTGAAAAAGTAAAAAATAAAGTGTAAAAAGTAAGAAATAAAGGGTAAAAAGTAAGGAATAAAAAGTAAAAAATTAAAAAAATTAAAAATGTAAGAAAAGAAGCAAAAATTGAAAAAAAATACATACGTGCTACCAATAGTGAAGAATAACTTCTCAAAGTCTTTTATCTTGATTTTTAATCTAAATTCTACATGAGGTATTTTAAAAACCATATCTCCATTGAAAATGGTGCTTGGAATCGGACATTTTTTTTTTTAAACAATAAATTGCATTTCACTATGGGACGTCTTTTGTATTTTCAATAGGGCGGACTGTGGCATTTTGCTATCACGCCCTGCATCCCTAAATCGTTCCACAAGACAGAATCAGAGAGAGAGACTTTTTGACAAAAAGACCGCATTTTATATTGAGAGAAAAAAAAGAGAACACAGTTCGATATTTCCCAACATTTTCTTTGTCATCTATTTTTTTTCTTTTTGAATATCAAGAATAGAAAAAAAAGTGAAGTAAAATATAAATGGCAGTAAGCACTGCCTACTTTTTTTCTCATTCTAATTTACACACACTTCAAAAATCTTTTTTTTTTTTTTTTAAGAATAAAAATGACTTACCGAAAATTTCGCTAAATTATCAGAAAAAAAAATGAAGCCGAATTCCAGGAAGTGATTCCATCATAAGGAATAATCGATATAAAAGAAAGAAAAAAAAATGATCAAAACACCTGGAATTAAAAACCTAAATTTTATACAATAATTTAGATTGGTCGGTTATTATAATAATTTATTCCTGGGCGGAATTATTTTACCTCTTCTCTCATTCTTTCTTTATTTTTCTTTATAAGAATCTCGTTGGTCTATTAATAAAATCGGCGGGGAAAAAAGCGTCTTCCTGAAAAATAGAAAACAAAGCAAAAATGTAACGGAAATTAAAATAAATTATAATGAAAAATAAAATTCGTGAGAGTAGGGGAGACCGGGGCGTAATGGCTAACTTTTCACTCTTTGTTGTTTTACTCGGACATTTTTGTTCTAATTGAATGTTTATCTTCCAGAAAATTTACTCTGGTATCTCAGCTTTCTTTTAAGACTACAAACGTCCCGATATGACTCTTACTTTTTATTCTACAACAGTTTTTCTGGAGCAATGCAGAGCTCCAAAATACGGCCCGAGCCGGGGCGTAATGGATAACTCCCGGGGCGTAATGAATAATGATTGCTAATTATTATCTGCAGTTTCCAATCTTATTGCATATTGTAAATTAAGGTTCCTGGGTATTCCGTGAATGCTATTTTTATTCAGCAATACTTCAACTATCGCTTTTTTAATAATATTCTGTGATATTGGCACTCTCTCAATTTTTTTTGTAATTTCTCATTAAAATCGTAGCTTGAAATCTACTATTTGTAAATTTTAGACCAAAACTTTTAAATTTTGTTAAAAACACCTAAACATATTTAAACTAAGTGACAAGCAATCGCGAAAACAAACCTACACTTCGCCGATATGGTAGGTTGCTTTTTATACATAGCGTATTGCATTAGCCAACACGCCCCGGGAAAAACTAGCCATTACGCCCCGGGGGTACTCGGCAAATATTTGGCTTTTTTTTAACAATACCGGAAGTGTGAATCAAAAATCTCGAATTGTCCCTTAAAAACAAACGTGTCAAGATCGAAACCTCATTTCAGTTTTTTTTAAAAGCTATTTTTGAAAAAAATAGAACGAAAAAACGAAAATTTTGAAAAGTTACTTTCGTATGTCAAAAATAGTTTTTCTACTATATTTCTTACAATAATGAATAAATATTAATGAAACTTCCGACAAACTTGCAGTATACCAAGTACAATAACTTGTCTATTGTGCGAAATTATTACAATTTACGGTTTTTAAACAAATTACAATTATTCATTACGCCCCTTAGCCATTACGCCCCGGTCTCCCCTAATGTAAAAAAAAAATTAATTTGTAAATAATAAATAATATAAATGACAAATAATATAAATAGTAAATAATAAAAATTGTAAATAATACAATAATATAAATATTAAATAGTAAATGATAAATATAGTAAATAGTAAATAATATAAATAGTTAATAGAGTAAACAGTAAATAATGTAAATAATAAGATAAAAGAAAATAATGTAAATGTAACGCGCTCCTAACTTGTTTTTTAAAATAAATATTTAATTATTATTATTTTTCCACATAAATTAAGATTTTCAAAAATTTTTTATATCAAACCTTTTGAAATTTGATAATTTATTAAAATTTGCCTTTTGTAACTTATTGAAAATTATTTTCATGATTTCAATTCAATTTTCTGGAATTTTTAATCAAAATTCTTCTCTAAATCAATTATTTTTAGTAAATTTTTGACACAGTTCCTTGAGAATCCAATTATTCAAAGAATAAAAAAAATTTACAAAAAATAATTTTAAAATCTACTTGTTTACAATTCAATTTTATTAAACTTCGATTATTCGAAAATTCTTTATAATTAAATATTAAAAAATAAAAAATTCAAATATGTAACTTCAAAAAAATTTAAATGACAGTTTTTCAAAAACAATTAGTATAACAAAATAATTGTTCATTAAACTATTAAAAATTGATTTTTAAAAATTGCATTTTGAAACCTTTAAAAAATTCAAATATTTTAAAAAATTGCTATTAATTCTCCAAAATAATTTTATTTCTCAGAATTTTTAACTAATATTCTTCTCTAAATCAATTCATTTTAATAATTTTCAGAAAATTCTTCTCTAAATCAATTATTTTTAATAATATATTCACAAGAATTCTTTCTAAATAAATTATTTTTAAAAATTAATTATATAAAAAACTCAATAATACAAAATAATATTGATAATAATAGTAATAATTTTTTTATTAATATCAAAAGAATTTGAATTAAAATTTTTCGAAAAGACTATAATTGTAAGTTAAATAAAATTTCTAATTGAAGTCATTGAAAATTTGAAATTTTAAAAAATTTTTAATTAAAATCTTTTGAAATTCAATTATTTACAAAATTGTAAATGCAACTCTTATAAAATTCAATTATTTTTGAAATTTTTATGTAAAATTATTCATAAAATAATTTAATAAATAATTTAGTAATAATTTTACAATAGTTTTTCAAGAATTAAATTATTTTAAATAAATTGAATTTGATATTCTGTATAAAGTTCAGATACTGTCAGAAATAAAAAAAATTTATTTTTTATGTGAATCTAAAGTTTATAAGGAAAACAAAAAGAAATTTCAGAACAATTAATCTTTTTAATATTTTCAAAGATTTCTAGACGCAATAAAATTGAGAATTTTCTTACGAATTTTAAAAATTTAAATTTTTTCCAGTAAATTTAATAAAATTCCCTGATTTTTCCCTGATTTTCTTGACTTGTAGAAACTGTTTTTGTAAATTATAATGGATTTTCCAAAAATCCCGGAATTTTAACTAAATTATTATTTTATCGACTCGGAAGTAATTTTTTTTCTTGAAAATGATTTATTTTAATGTAAAAAGCAATTTAAAAAAATTGCAAAAGGATTCAAGGTTTAGAAAGCAGTAATTTTGATTTTTTTGTCACGGATCTTCCAAAATTCCAGGAATTTCAAATAAATTATTATTACCTTGCTTTGGAAATAATTTCTTTCTTTTGATAATTATTTATTTGAATGTTATAAGCCTTTTAAAAAAAATTACGAAAGAATCCAAAACCGGGAAAGTAGTGATTTTTTTCAATAATGATTTTATTTGAAATTCCAAGATTTTTGGAAAATTCGCGACAAAAAAAATTACTGCTGTTTCGCCTTGAATCCTCTTGCAATTTTTATTTAAAATGTTTTTTAATGTTTAAATAAATAATTAGCAAAAGAAAAAAAAATTGCTTCTGAGATAAGAAAACAATTTATTTAAAATTCCATGATTTTTGAAAATTCCGTGACAAAAAAAAAATAAAATTACATCCTTTCTCGCTTTGGATCTTCTTGCATTTGTTTTTAAGTGACTTTTAATATTTAAATTAAAAAAATAAGCAAAAGAAAAAAAATTGTTACCGAGACGAAGAAGTAAATTACCATTTCCCTGAAATTGGATCTTTTTACAATTTTTTTAAGGACTTCTAACATTAAAATAAATAATTTAATTATTATATATTATTTGAGTATTTCACGGGTAATCACCCTTTATTACAATAAAAAGATGTAAAAAAAGAAAAATAGTGTTTACTGAATTATTATTAATTTTAACATTTTATTTTGGAGTCAAACGACAATTAAAGTCAACACAATTACCAAAAAGAAAAAGTTTTCGTCTAATAAACGTTCGTAACTTCAATTTCACGTTGTTATAATCATCCCTTTTCGACAGTAATTAATCCATTGAATTAAAATTAAAAGTAAACTTTATCAACAAAATTAATCAAAAACCGAATTTCAAAATGATAACCAAATAAAAAATGGTGAAAAATTAAAAAAAGATCCACTTGTACAATGAATGGACTTTTAAAAGCATACAGATATCAATTGATCTGTATAGTAGTAAACATTATTGTTAAAGTTACGAGACGCTGAACGTTATTGACCAAGGTCATAAAAACGGAATTGACATTTTAGGTGACTGGTTAGGACACATAGAAGAAGTTTCTCGCTTCCGCTTTCGTGTACATAGTGTGTCACTGATCGCAAAACACGTGACGACGACGACGACAACGACAACGACGACAACTATACACCAATGCTGCCAGTGACGTCGACTCTGAGGTTTCGCCTGACTGACAGACCTGCGAATAGCTCGAGCCACTTAACGACATATCAGCTGAGCGGACTTGTGACTCAATGCGTTTTACTGCTGCTTCACGGCGGTTTATTGCGCTATCAAAACATAAAATGCCGGCGGGAGTGTGTACGCGTGGGTACACCTCCCCCCCTCCCATCGCTGCTGCCTCTCTACTTTTACTTCAATATCGTTAAATATGCCGCTCTTGAATTTCTAGACGCGCCCAATTTTCCTTAATCGAAAAACTCCCCCCCTGTCTGATCCCCCCCCCTTTTTTATTTTATTGCAATTGTTTTGATTTAATACAAGAAAATTTCCTGTCTGCTCCCCCCCCCACCACCAAGTTATTGCAATTAATTCGATTTTTTTGCATTTTTCTTTTTTGCAATATTTTCCTCTTTTCGAAATAATTTCCCTTTTTAAAGTGTTGTATATTTGAAACGGTTGTAATTTTTCTTTTATATTTAAAGAGAAAAAAGTAGTGTTTCTTTATTTAACTGTGAACTAAATCAGGTCTCGAACCAGTGAAAGTATTTAAAAATAGTAAAATACGGACTTTACGGACCAAAAATGAAAAATTACGGACCATTTATGGACCAATTACTGACAAAAATATAATTTTTATTTTTAATTATAATATAATCAGTCCAAGTCAAATAAAAGAACATTTCACTTAACAATTTCACTTAACATTTCACTTAAAACTATAAATTAAATTTTTTCATGTATTATAATAATTAAAGATGACCGCGTAATAAAATAATTATTTT